ATGTCAAAACAGCCCAACATAACATTAAAAAGTTGCAAAGTTGGCGTGTTTGCATACATTAACATAAACTATAAGAGACATATTTATATCATGTAACTCCAAACAAAATTTCGCATGCCTGTCTCCTGCGATTCGTTAGCTGCTACAATCAAACCTAATGCTAAATATAATATTAGTGCTTTTCTCATGCTGTTTTAGATTCCTAAAAAGTTGTACATTTTTCCAAAATTTATCAAATCACGACAAAATTTCAGAATCTTATATTAATTGACACTGGTGTAGCTTCCACCTCAGATATTCGTCGCAATGTTGGCATACGTACATGAACTACAAATTTATAATAATAAATTATTTGGTGTAACATATTGGACTATAGTCTATTTTATTATCGTCACGTGGCAAACCTTGACAAATACCAAGTACAAGAAAGTAGTTTGGAAACACGGCGAAATAAAAATATAGTACACGTATTCGAGAATGCCGAATAAAAGTGCGACCATTTTAATTCTGCTCCCTCTACAGAGCAGCTACTATGTCCGGAACCAATGCAATCCTTGTACACGCGTCTCTCAACAGACAGCTGAGAACCGAATAGACCTAATTCCCATGCCCTGCCACCGTGGTTTTCCACAAAATAGCGGACCCCCCCAAACAAGTTGTCAACACTGCTAATCCCATGTCGGGACTTGTCGCCCCCTTGTGCCGCGATGCTATTGTGTTCCGTTCTGACCTACACGTATTAAACACTAAACCAGGGGTGAACAATGTTTTAAACAATGAGAAATAACTGCTGAGGAAAGCAATAGTCGTTTCTTCCATTATATTAATTAATTTTCTAAGTAGTACAGTACGCTGAGATTTTTAAACAGAAGTTGTGTACACATTTCTTGTTTCCATCTTAATATAACTACAAAAATTTGCTTCAATTTTCTGTCAGTTTAATGAGACATTTAGACTCGATAATTAAAATTCCCAGAACGACTCTGTGATCAAATATGACTGATACCCAAGGGGTAATTGAAGTTCTTCCTGTAGTGGTAGAGACGAGACTCTACCACGTGCTTCCAACTATTAAGCACCTGCACATCCAGGAAAGCTGTCATATGGAGGTGTTTATTGTATATTACACATAAAGCTTGAGTACGTACAAAGAGGCATGGATTGGTTCACTGGCGGAATCTAGTGTTGGTTACAAAGCATGAAACTACCATACATAATAAAGGAATGATCATGAACTACACCAGGAAAAAGATTTCTGTCTCCTGGGTTGTTGCGCTGTGTAGTCTGGTCGATGTTTACCAACGTTTCAGAGGTCATACTGCCTCCGTCATCAGGGCGATGAATCGGTAAACATCGACCAGACTACACAGCGCAACAACCCAGAAGACAGAAATCTTCATATTCACCGCTGTGAAAACCTTAAATCTTACACCAGGATATTTAGTCATGCAGCTAGACTGACAATTTTATTAAAGAGGCTGTGATAAGTTCAGTTAGCAGTACAGATGGATGAAAATTTGAAACACACAGAATTATGGTGTGTGTGAAAAAAGGTCACAAGGAACACAAGGGTTTCAGTTGACCGATATCCTAACCGAACTTTGTACACATTTCAAACAATGGGAAACGCCGTTCCCGTGCGGCATCTTCTCCGACTGTACAGTTTAGCGAGGTAGTCTAACGGAAATACTGCAGGCGAACAGCTCGAAAACTTTTTCCATGCTTCCTGTCCTAGGATAAGAACAAATCTACTGCGCTAACAGTGTATTTCAAAGAAAGACAAAGGCGCAGATAGAATGATAATTTTAAAATGCATCTGAAGCAGACTGAATTCGTCTGGCTCATGGAGGAATCAGTGGCGGGTTGTTGTGAACACGGTACTGAAACGTCGGGTGCCATAAAAGGCAAGACATTACTTAACTAGCTTAGTGACTACTAGCTTCTCAAGAACTCTGTTTCTGTAATGCAGAAGCAGACGAGTGCTGTAATCACGGTAGTCGCCGTTCTTATGCGGCAACTTCTCCGACTTTTCTTTCATGCACGTAGTCTAATCAAAATACAGCAGGCGTATAGTCCTCCATTCTACCTGTTCTGGGTTATGAATACTGCTAGTTTTCACAATGTCGTTAACACGGGCTCGGCGCTAAATTTAATGTGTAGAATGAAGTAATGAGATCTATTCAACATGTATCTGGGAGTATTGTCCCTGACTTAGTCTTCACAAGTTTGTTAATTAAAACAATCTATTTGTAAAGCGATCGTCAGTGATCCACAGCTTTCAGCTAACTGGCATTTTAATAAAAGCCTGCACATGTTGAAAGCATATAATTGAGGAACTGGTCCAGATTTATAACAATATGCTACGATAAAACACACAAAATATAATATTCAATAAAGTCTTCTCGGCAATCAGGTGGCCGTAAACAATCGACGTTTCGAGAATGTCTGAGACAATAGATCCCTAATTATGAGGACCGCGAAGTTTCTCGAAACGTCGGTCTTTTGTGACCAACAGAGGCGGCCGATTGCCCTAAAATCCTTCGTTGAATTTAGTCGCTGCACAGGTTACGGATCGATCAGAGTATAATATTCTTCTTTTTTAACTACTGAAAAATTAATCCTGATTTCCCCTTTTGCCAAAGCACCACACCACAACAGTGATATATGAACAAAAACACAAGCAGTCCCAATTTTGGTTATAGATGGAAGTGAGTAGTAAGCTTCAGGCTTCACGCACGCCAGGAACAATCAAAATTAATGTCAGTACAAATATGTAAAATAGAAATTCATTTTAAAAATAATGGAGGTAGCAAGAAGCTCTGAAACGTTGGAAAATTTCTACCAGACCACATGGCACTACCATTCAGAAGATAGCCATATTCGTTGCATATATGGTTTGATTCATGCTACAAACCAGAATTAAGGCGTTCCCTTGCTTTCTAATGCTTCCTATGACCCCCCCCCCACACCCAAATGACATAAAACTTTACTTATCCCATCTCCTTCAGGTTGTAAGACGGTAAAGTTGCATCATGCACTGAAATAAATAAAAGCTTATGATGATATGAAAAGCTTAAACTCCATGAGATATGCCATCTTCTTCGTAGTACCATTTTTCCATATTCCCATTTTATCCAGTTTCCTTCTTCCCTGTTTCAACCATTATCACGTCTCTCGCTCCATAGCTATAAGAATCATTTCGTGAATCGTGTTTCTAATAAAGTCGGGCTTCATAAGAGAAACCCAAGACCAAGACAGTGTTTTCCGTCGCATAACAATAATCTGACACTAAATAACTCCACGGATCAGAGTCCTTCTCGAGAAGATGATGGCCTTCAACTGGCTGACATTCATTGCCTTTTATGCAACCCAAAGAAACTTTCATTATGGTGTCCATAAGTCCCCGCTAATCCAATCCACAGGCTCACGCACTATTTAAGATCCGCTTTAATAGTAAACACCTACCTACAGCTAGATTTTCAAAGTGGTTTCTCAGTTTCTATAATATTGCAACCGGTTACGAGCATAATAAATTTCGTTTCAGAGAAACCAAACATAAAACGTTAGAATTTAAAAATCTCCGAAGACATCAAAATTGGTATATCAGCAATTGCACGCGAAACTGAACCGAAGTTATAAGTTAATGAATTCAGTTTCTGTGGATTTCCGCGTTCCATGTCTCACATAAAAGCCGCGTGTCGTTGGTTGGAGTGACTTGAAAGTAGAAACAGAGTTGATATCAAAATGAATTAGAACCGGCATTGCGACTGATGTGGTGGTTTGTGCAATATTTAAAAATTTCCATCAGACTGTATTCAGACTCATTTTAGCGCCAAAACGTAAACCCATCCCCAATTTTTCTTTCAGTTACATTCTTGTCTCTCTTGCCTCCTTATTTGGGGCCCTCCTTGCCGCCCGACGACGTGGCAGTTCTCGTTTCTGTCACCTCCTTTTTTTTTGCACTACACCCCCATTCTACCAGCGCCCGCCACTTCGAAGTAGTGTAACCCTTTCCATGCCAGTCTCTCCAGCTCTGTTGCACGCATAGACTTGGGATATCGCGCGTCTCTGTCGCGTTATCGGGAGTTTCCGCCTGACTGGGCTCGGTATATCGTCCTCGTATGTGTGCGTGACAGAGAAAGAGCGAATCGTGCGCTCTGCTCGCCTTATCAGGACTCCGACGTCCCGTTACGTTCGTTCGCTCCCTTTTGCTCCCACGTCTGCCTGGAGATGCCCGCCTCTACTAATGGAAACCTGATAACGACAGGCACCACACAGTGCAGGAACGCAGAAAGAGAAGGAGGGAGAAGAGCGAAAAAAAGCAGACGAAGAAGAAAGTTTGGAAGTTACGAGCGCATAAAAGAGAAAAGCCAAATAGCCAAGAAAAGAAGTACGCGTTAGTCGGGAAGAAGAAGGGAGTATTTAAATGATGTGCAAAATGTGCGTGAAACACTATAAATTATCATAATTTTAAGTTTGAGAAAATCTTTGGTCAAATTGAATTTATTTATTTATTACTTGTCGTATATTTAACGACGCTGTCAATAACTCAGACTTTAAAGCGTCGGGTAATAAGAAAATTAATACATTGGACAGAATATGGAAATACATAGTAATTTGTACCTCTAAGGTAACTTATCTGTAAGTACTCTGCAGGGATTCTAACTGTGGTGGGTGTAGATCGTTGTATGGTTTATGGTTCCAAATGCTGTTATGTTCGTTATTACAGTCTATATTTCTTCGAACCTTAATCAATGTCTGTCCAAGAATCTTATTGTCTGGTGCGATTTGAAAGTCAGAAGTTACCACGTCCAATATTCAGACTTATCTGACTGATCCATCACATTTCCTATGCATCTAAATACTTTGTATATTTCAGAGAAGAGGAGTGGACTTGTTCTCGTTTTACAGATCTATCTACCGAACAGAAAAGATGAACGCCAAGCAGGTCTCAAGTTCAACCCTTCCAAGATATTCTCATTTAGTGTTTTGTGTTCTAGTGGTTGATCTGGATGGGGCGCCTTCTGACGAGACAAATTCGGGGGACAATTCAAATGCAGGGTCAAGTGCTGGGGGGCCTGACGAAGACCAAATACGGCTACGGCTCAAGAGGAAGTTACAGAGAAACCGAACTTCCTTCACCAACGAGCAGATAGACAGCTTAGAGAAAGGTAGAGTCCATAGAATCAATGTTTACACCGAGAATCATAAGAAATCAATAAACACACTTTGTTAAAAAAAACTGTAGTGATATTGAGCGATGAAGCTGGAGGTACACATAAGTTACCACTTAAAGAGATGACCTTGACACTAGATGGGGGTACATTCCGGCCGGCTTACTCCTGGGAAAATATCCTCCGGATCCTATTAGATGGGAGGACGAGTAATCTCCAGAACTTGTATAAAAACAATGGTGAAGATAAAATTGAAGAAAAAAATCATAATAATAAGGCAATATTTCTAATAAGAAGGAAAATAAATATGATTAACATGTTCCAAATAAACTATAGGTAAATGATATTACTAAAAATTGTTTACAACTACACTGTGGTGCAAGAATTACTTGCCCCTTCAAATTAAAACATCTTACATACAGACTTATACATCACAGCACGTGATACATTACGGATTAACGTCTGCAGATGAATCCGTATACATTTCAACGAAAAAAGAACAAAATAAGAGTAGATATTATGTTCGTGTAGCTGCTGTTTGTCATGTAGAGCGCGGCTGTCCTTTATATGTCATTCACAGCAGCATCTAAAGATGTTTCGAACAAATGGGACACGGTGCACTTGATCACACAGTTGTAATTCGTCATTCACGGGGCACTGAATTTAACTCGTGCAATTCTACAGGAATTACTACAGTGGCGAAAAAGTTATTTTTAGAAGACGGATCTAGAAATACCAAACCTCCGTCTGGGGTTCCCGTAATTTATAACGGGGGAAAGACAAGCGAATATGACCTTATTGTAATCCAAATTTTCCTTAATAAGGAAGTAGGCTATAAATAATTGCTGATAGTTTGCATCTGTGTTACCTACAGGGTTACGCACTACGACAACATGGCGAATACAGAATATTGGTCCAGATACATTCTCAAGCACTTTACATTCTTACATTTACATTATTTCTTGCAACATTATGTGATTTCTTAAGCGACCATATACACATTACAATAAGTTTAGTTAATAGTTTTATATAACTTGTGTTGTTTATGGTATAGAACGATCCTTATGTAACAAGACAAAACCAAGTTTTAACAAATTTATTGAACAAAAAGTAACGTAATAATAATAAGTAGACTAAAATTGTTTGAAATACAGCTCTACTAATGGGAATAATGGAATTAATTGCCTGTTATGAGATATATTTCACCAAACTGAGATTTAAATTCAGTACTCCCTATCATCAAAATTGATTGTAAATGTTCATCCGTTAATGCTGACCTGTATTGAGATTTTACATATTTCATCTTTGAAAATGTCTTTTCACACAGGTAGGCGCTGCCAAATACAGATATCAATCCCTGAGCATATGATCTTAATTGACCGTATTCATCGCTTGGAAGACATTTATAAAATTCTTTCTCTCAACTACTCAACTCGGCCGTTTCGTTATAGCGCGTACTTTGAAATTTCAAAGAATTTAAATATGTAAAATCCGTTCTTAGCTCGCGGGCCGTACAAAAAGAGGCGGCGGGCCGGATTTGGCCCGCGGGCCGTAGTTTGCTGACCCCTGCTTTATAATTTTTTGCCTGCTTCTTCGTGCGTTGCTTGAACATTACGTAGACTGAGGGTGAAGGTTGTCTTGTCGTCAACTGTGCTGGCTTCTCTCTATATGGAGAAATTATTCTTCAACTACAGCAAGCAAGTTGAAGCAGTAGGTGGCTTCAAACTATTGATTTTCGATGAGAGTCTTCTTCTTGCTTTCTCTCTGCCTTCCTTCTCGTCTTTCTCACTTTTATTTTATTTTCAAATTGATGCTGTAGGAACGTAAAGACATGCGGGTTAAGATTGATAACATCAGGGGAGAAAAATGGCAGCGTGTGAGCGGCGATATGAATCGTTGTGATTGATAACTTCTAATAGGTTCGCACTTGTTGTCAGTTAATATCGGGAAAACAAACTGTAAGAATTCCTACCGTTCTGGATTCTAGATACTATTCACAACAACCTAGCTCAGTCGTACAATTCTCTCTGCATTCAGTGTGGATCTGGGTTCGAAGCTCAACCTGTGTCTTTACTCAAGTTTCGTGAGACTTACGCAAGACAAAGATCCAGGATCGGTTTTCTGTCTTCTTCCATTTCACTGTCGTCTCAAAAGTTCCATAATCTCCCAATCTCTTCATTCTTTATAATGGGCTGGCCACTCATTCATTCGTTTAAATAACCGAGTCAGACACTTCAATTCCTCCAACATCATGGAATAACCAGTAGATGTCAGAGCAAAGGATGGACAACTGGAATACTAATTTTCACTGTAGGAATTAACTCTTTATTTTAAAGTACTTTCAAAATAACCCCATTCAGTTGTTGGCAGAGTGGTAACGAGTCTGATTTACGCCCAAAATGCACCAAGATCAAATCCTGATCAGGAACTATGTATCTTGGCTTTCCTTATTACCTACAAGCAAATAACCAAGCGGTTTATTAATAGGACACGGCCGCTTTTTTACACCCATAGCTATTCAAATTTCAGAATTATCCTAAAACACCACATTCATCGCTATACAAATTAATTATATCACACACTGCCGTAAAGTAGAGTAAACAAGCAATAATAGACGTAATTTGACGCTTTAAGGCAGTTAATTTGTTCCAAATATGAAGTCGTATTGCACCAGTTGGAGCAGGTGTCAACGTACGCTTCACTACGGACGCAATCCTACCTAGATTTATACAAGTAATTATATACTGTTATAATTACAATTTCTTTACTTTCTCAGAATTCGAGAGGACACACTATCCTGATGTGTTCGCTAGAGAAAGGTTAGCTGCAAAAATTGGCCTTCCCGAAGCTAGGATACAGGTAAGTGAAACATACCCTGCAGTAATTTCAAGAGGAAGTTGTGAGATTGTTTGGGGGGGAAAGTCTGTCATTTAAGGCGCAATAGTTATCAAAATAATTAAAAACCTAATTCATAACTACTTATTTACAGGCTGACATATTTAAAGTAAAGTAAAGTTTGTCCCACTATACGCCATGTAGGCGTTTGGGGGAAGAGGAGGTATAGCTCCTCTCTTCCTTGACCTCGGCACTAGATGGGGGTGAGTGGTCAGCATCACGCCCCTGCCGGCTTTACCCCCGGGAAAGGACCCCGGTACCCATTGGAGAGGAGGCTGGGTGGGCCCCCGG